ATCATAACAGGCAAATCTAATCTCAGAGCTGGGGCAGGGACCAGCCCCATGGCAAATGGACCACTAAGTGTCCTGTTTGGCCATCTTCCCCCTGTGCTGTAATTGTAGCTGTGCTGAGGAGTGCTGGAGAGGACAGGTTGATGTATCTTTGTTTAGCTTGGACGAGCAGTGGGAAGCTGATATTAGTAAGGCCATGTCTGCTGTGTTTTTGTGCAGGCTCATTTGCAAAGTGCGCTATCAGTAATGTAGTTTGAATCTGTACCACAAGGAGGAAGATATTGATTGTCTTGGAATGGAGTAGCAGATAATAATACTAATTGTTTTTCAAATTGCTCCAGCAAAGCTACCAAAATCCTATGAGATTTACCTTACCATGTGAAGCCAAATTCTATCTACTGCTGAGATATATACATATATATATATATATATATATATATATATATATATATATATATATATATATATATATATACACATATATATATATATATATATATGTATATATATATATATATATATATATATATATATATATATATATATATATATTAGGGGTGCGGAAAAAAATAGATTCTTAGATGCATCGCGATGCGGACGTGAACGTTCTGAATTGATCCACAAATGTCAAAAATCGATTTTCTAAATATTTTATATATAACGTAATGTTGATGGAACGCAAAAGGCGGAACTTGGAAGGGAAGCGCCCGGACTTGGAATGCAGCGCCCGGACAGTCTGTGACGGCACATAACAAAAACACAACTGGATGAGCGAGAAATCCGACCGGTGTTGCATCCGATTCTGTTCCCCCTGGAAATCATGTTCCCTGTGAGAAATCAGGTCCTCGGGCACGCGCATTCAGGAAACAAAAACCAACGCTGGGCAACGCTGGGACTACGGGAAGCAAAAGGGTCCAAACAGCTTGTTTCCACCGGCGGAGAGCAAAACGAAAAGTATTTCCCGGTAAAATGCTACCAAAATCGGTCTTTTGTACGATTTATTTCTGTTCACTGTGATATAACATTATTTCTGAAATGCCAGTTCTGTGTTTGATGTGTTTATTAACCACCGCTCGTGAAAATAAAAATATAGTCATCACGATAGCTTCATGGTTACTGTTATTAAGAACGCAACACGTTTTGTTTGATTATATAAAACAAACATATTACTCGACTCAGTATTTTTATGCGGTACAGACTTCACCATGCTGCAAACAGTGTAAACAATAGGACCATATGTAGACGAGTGAATAGTCTCATCCAAATGAGTTCCCCCTACCAAATATAACTCAAGAAGTATCTGTTATAAAAACTACTTTAGTGTTACGCCAGGGTGATTGTTGGGGAGCAGAGTTTTTTTTTCTTACTTTTAAAATACAAATACTTTACAATAGTATGAACATGAGTATTAATATAAATATGAATATAACGTTTCGATTTTCTATTTTCCCTCAAATACATGAGTTTTGCACTTTGTCCACTACTATTTTTATTACATGCACTTGAAAAAAGCAGACACCTTTTCTTTTTGTTTTACACAGATTCCCTGTGATGAATGTGAAAGATTCCACACAGTCTGTGTCAATAACCCTGAGCTGGAGGGACAATATACATGCATAGCATGCGCGTGTGTCTAATTTCTGTAGATTTTTGTTACAGTGAATCAGTGATTTGTTATTTTTTTCTTGAGTGGCTGTCGCTTTTTTCCTTTATAGTGTTATTTTCAACATTGGTTTTGTACAAATATTGTTAACAAACAGAAATGTGGAACACATAAAATTGCAAATAAAATGATGGAAAACTTTGCCAAATACTATGATTTTTGTTGTGTGAAGGAATTTTGTTCTGTCTTTAATAAAACAATCATTTTGTGTTTTTCCAGGTCATTTAAGGTCATTCATATGTTTGAATAAGTGTTTTCCATCATATTTCAAAAAAGCAATCAGTTACATTGGAGTCAACTGTTTGGAAGAACTCAGTTCAGTCCCAGAACAATAACATTTGTGTTACACTGGTAAACAAGCAATGTCTGTCATATACATGCTGTTTACAAAGCCCCTCTGACCTATAATGGAGTAATATTTTGGGTATTTCAAGGCTGTGTTTGTGAATGGTGAGAGATACAGATGAGGCATTTGTCCCATTCGAAATGGATTCCCCTCACTGAACCCTTTGTGTGCAGGTTCTCTAAATAATTGATGTAGCATGGCTTAGTATGACCATAAGTATTTCATCCCTGTGGTTGGTGTTGAGGAGACCCCTTCCCTGAGGTTTATTTGCTGGAACAGCTGTGGACAAGGCATTTAATTCATTCAAAGTGTATTTCCCAAAAGAAAAAAAAACTCTGCTCCCCAGCAATCACCCTGGCGTAACACTAAAGTAGTTTTTGTAACAGATACTTCTTGAGTTATATTTGGTAGGGGGAACACATTTGGATGAGACTATTCACTCGTCTACATATGGTCCTATTGTTTACACTGTTTGCAGCATGGTGAAGTCTGTACCACATAAAAGTATTTTCGAGTAATATTTTTGTGTTACATAATCCAACAAAACGTGTTGCGTTCTTAATAACAGTAACCATGAAGCTATCGTGATGACTATATTTTTATTTTCACGAGCGGTGGTTAATAAACACATCAAACACAGAACTGGCATTTCAGAAATAATGTTATATCACAGTGAACAGAAAGAAATCGTACAAAAGACCGATTTTGGTAGCATTTTACTGGGAAATACTTTTCGCATTGCTCTCCGCCGGTGGAAACAAGCTGTTTGGACCCTTTCGCTGCCCGTAGTTCCAGCGTTGCCCAGCGTTGGTTTTTGTTTCTGAATGCGCGTGCCCGAGACCTGATTTCTCACAGGGAACATGATTTCCAGGGGGAACAGAATCGGATGCAACACCGGCAACCTCTACATTAAAGCCAGGTTAGATCAGGAGTCACAACACAAATGTTAAGAAGAGCCATTTTGTCCTTTCAACAAAAATCAAACCACCTTGGGAGCCACAACATTTAATGTCCAGTATGTCTCAGTATGTGATAATGTCCTAGTACAGGCTAAACAAAATAAACGAGAGCGCGGATTTACTTTGTTTTGCTTTAAGCTTCACCTACAGCCGCTTTCCTCCCATTTCCGCCAGAAAACTTTTACTCAAAACTAGATCAGTTTCTTGTAAAATGTCTCTCAACATTCGGCTGCCTTACGAGGCTGAAGTCGCTTCTTATTCTCCAGCTTCTTGTTCGAATTTTCCCCGTTCCACCTTAAATTCTGACTGAGGCGCCGAATGTAAATGCGGCAACATTTAAGGTGGAACGAGAAAATTCGGAAGAGAAGCGACTTCATCTTTGCGACTTTTTACTGTTTGACAGTCTCTCGTTGCAGATTTAACTTGCCAGGAAACCAACTGCGCTGCTTATAAATGAGAATGACGCATCGTTGCGTCAATTCTCAGTCGTTGCGAAAGAGGGCTTTCGCGCTATGTTGCACACGTCCCGTCTCAAAGATATTTTACTGACACAGCGATCCCCCCCCCCTTTGAATGAGAGCCTTCTAGTTCACTTGCTACATCACTTTGATTTGATTTATTAATAAAAGATATTGGAAGTAAATTCATTATGGATCATTACAAATACTTTGCTTTAAAACTACCAAGTCCTCACACAGTGAGGAAATAGAAATGATGTATAGAAAAAAAAAGATGCATCAAGATGCATCGATAATCGTTTTATAATCACATCGCAGCCCTCTGAATCGTAATTGAATCGAATCGTGAGGTGCCTAGAGATTCCCACCCCTAATATAAATGTTTATGTGTGTATATATATATATATGTGTGTGTGTGTATAATATAAAAAAAAAAATTGTAGCTAGTAATATATTGATCCTTAACCATTAATGCAGCACCAGCCTTTACAATATTGATATCACAGAAGTGTATAGGTGTGTGGCCATATTTGGTGCTACATCTTCATTAGTAAGTTAAAATTGTGTTTTTCTGTTGCTCATATTCTTTCAGCACATGTTTAAGCTTTGTGACTTTCAGCTGCTGTATCAGCTTCCATTGTTTAAGGAAGTCTCCCAACAACACATCTTAAGACGCGTTTTTTTTTTTCCCAGTTATTTACGGCATCACATGATGCGACCGAGCTAGGAGGATGAAGGCTAGTGTGTGTTTCCTATGAGAAACATGAAGCACTATTGTTGTGCTGAGTAATGGCGAAGAGGAACAACACATGCAGAGAGAACAAGGCCATCTGTGGTGTCTTAAACTCTCAGCTACAAATGATTGTGGCATCACCAGCGTTCGAATTCACAATCTCCTGGTGACAGGGCCAACACATATGCTGTTGTCTATGTTGAAACTCAAAGATACCTGGTTTTACAAAATGGAGAAAAATCCATACAAAACTGGCTACCGGTAGTTGCTCAAATGTTTTAAATTATGAGGGAGCATATGCACTGCACGTTCAGGCCCGTAATCCAGTTTTGTACATAACAAGGCAAGCAGTGCGTCTGATTTATACCAGAAACTGGTGCTGAACACTTTGTACACTGGGCCTAGAATGTTTTATTTATTGTGTGTTACGAGCATCCTGACCAATCATAGATGTTCTGTTGGTGTTTCGACATTCACATGATTTGACAAACATAAATAATTTTGGTCAAAAATAGCACAGGCCAGTCCTTAACCACATGACATCAAGGGTTCACTAATGTGTTTTTAATAAATTGGCAGGTATATTATGTAATAATAGTGTATTTTGGCCATATCATGCAGCCCTAGCAGAGAGATGCTTTATTTCCTGGGTGGAACATGCCACTGAACAGCTCAACATGCCTGGAGGAGAACACTAACTGCCAATTTTGCAACATCAGCCAACAGACTGCCGGCTATTCTTGTGCTGAGTGATGGGGAAGAGGGAGAACACAATGGAGTACTTATTGATTTGTACGTGGTTGCTCTGGTTAACCCTGCTGTGCTTTTGCTGTGTGGTGTGTAGGTGCAGTGATTGGGGATGGTCAGTCTGCCGTTGCCAGTAACATTGCTAACACCACCTATCGACTGCAGTGGTGGGACTTCACCAAGTTCGACCTGCCAGAGATCAGCAATGGTGAGTGTCCTGCATTGAATACCAGTCCACATCAGCTGACATTTCTTAATGCCACCATGAAACCCAGCGCACAGCCTTTCTTTGTTTTAAAAATTGTGTGGACGTATGAACATTTTGTTTTGTTGTTACTGTTTAGTGGACTTTTTTATTATATAATTTACTTTGTACTTACATTTCCCATTTTACCACAGCCCTAAGGCTATACTGCACATGTATGTATGTAGAGTAGGGCTCGACCAGTTATAGATCTCACAGATAATCAGAGCTGATATTCAGCGTTTTTCTGATTATCAGGATTGGCATATGAACTTGCTTCCTTGCTGATAAAAGTGCCTTTCTTTATGCACATATCTGACGCAACTGCGATCAGCAAAACATGCTTCTGTACTCTGGGCCAATGTCCTGCCTAAAATGTTACTGGATTGCTTGAAATGTGGATAAATCATCAAGCGCAACCAACCAGCATTTCTGGAGCCTGTCTCTTATGTTCCATACCGTGTTGAGTAAATCCAATCAAACATGCTTTTAAGTGTTTGAGGGAGGCGCAGGAGGAAATGAAAAAGTACCTTTTTCGCTCCCACAGTGAGAGGAACAGGTAAAAACATCACAGTAGTAAACAACATAGTTGGCAAAAAGCTCAATGCAATCTGTCACATAATTTCACTCACTCTAGTCAAACAAACGTGACTTGTGCGTGCAGCTAAAGTCATTCCCGAAACGTCACATTCGAGTGAGGTTTCTTTGTGCGGGAGCAGACATGCTGTGCGAACCCACACTGCTTCTGTAGGAGGCTGAACACTTTGAGAATGTGCATGTTATTTGTAGAATCATAATGTATTGTTTTACATTTAATAAATAAGTTATACATATTTTCTGGTCATTTTCATGTCTATTTTCACTTGTTAAAAGTACAAACAGCTGCAGCTCGCTACCTCCAAAAATTCTGCTGCTCTGCTTAGGCTAAACAGGCTGTTTCCATCAAATCATGCAGCACAGAATGCACCTGATACCTTCAGCACGTCCAACTACTGCTTGTTATTGCATAAGACATATTTGTGGTTGAACAACAAAATTCATATTCCCTCATTGTTGTTACTTTTTACAAAGTAGGGACAATTTTTAGTGCATGATTGCTCAGATGCTTACTGTAATGTTTTACTGTAAAACATTTACAGATGTATACATTTGGTTAGTGTAGGCTTTACAGTTTTTAGTCTAGGTTTTCTCGCTTGCATCCATATACTGAAAAGACAAGCTCTGCTCCTGATGTGTGCCCTTCCAACACTGTCAGTTACTTATACAACGTATCTGTTTTTTAAAAATGTAAATTTAAATATATTTGTATAAATGTTTATTTACAAACATCTGTTCTTACAAACAAACTAGTATACATTGTTGAGAGCTGTTTGTTATTTTTTGTGTTTATCATCTTGAAGACAATTTTAAAATGTTTGCATCAATATTTTTGCAGCCTATACTGTCTAAAGCTCAAATCACTTTATTTTTTTATAATGTTCTAATATTCATTTAATATAAGTTGTGAGTTGCATTCTTGTAAAATTTCACACTACAAACATCACATTCGTGGTAAATGAATATCAGCCATAAAAATTAGTTATCTGTATCCTTGATTACTAATAATTGATTTCAGGATCGGCCCAGAAAAAACATTTCAGTTTACGCCTAATATAGGGTTCTACATTAATGGTGAATTTGTCTGGTGATAGTAGCTGTACTGCTGATCTGGTGAGCCTTTTCCTGTAATAGTAATTTAGATGAATTTCAGGCAGTTTTCCACTTGCCTCACTTTGATAACTGTAATTTGCCACTGTGGCTTTTTCTCCGAATCATGTGGAGGAGCTCAGATCAGCCCAGAATACAGCTGGAGGACAGCCATTCTGTGGGCTGCTGCTGATAATGCCATTATTATCCTTCATTAAAACAGGAGCCGTTTTTTTTCTCTCTCATTTCTGTTCTCTTCTTGCTTCGTCTGTCTCTCTCTCACTCTCTCTCCTCCTTCTCCTCTCATCTGTCTTTGCAGAAATTTGCTGATCTGTCTTAAAAAGATCAAAACAAGTTGGAGTGCTTTAGTTGTCCCATACATTCAATTTTTAAGGACAGCAGCAGTCATTTTTCATGCTCATAGCCACATCTTTAAGAACCATAACTGTAAAAGATTTGTTTATTTTTAGGGACATTTTTTTCCTGGACTGTTTTGTAAAGAAAATGATTTTGCCCGTTGTAGAATTTAATGGGCTACCAAAGAAAGAAATAAAAGTTATTGTTATATGAGAGTGGAGCTATAGCGGTGAGCATTACATCTGAAAAATAATTTATATTGTTTACAGTAATCACAGTGGTGTTTACAGTAATCACTGTAATCAGTGGTATTAAGAGGCTTCTCTTCAGTGCCACCCAAGTCATTATTAACAGTAAGCAGCTTGTTAGTGTTTCTTTTTGTCTTTTTTTCCTGATGTATAATGTTGAATTGTGAACACATGGATACACGAGTCATAGTCACATGTGGCATTATGGAAAACGTGAGGCACAGGGATTTACAGTTGGTCAGTAGCTTATAATAACCACAGCGTGGGCTACGCCTAATACGTCATGTGGCCAAAAGTATGTGGACACGTGACCTTCACGCCTGTATATGCTTGTTGGACATCTCATTCCAAAACATGGGCATTAATATGGAGGTGGCCTTTAACAGCCTCTACTCTTCTGAGAAGACTTTCCACAAGAGTGTGTCTGGGAATTTGCGCCTAATCAGTCAAAAAGGCATTTGTGAGATCAGACACTGATGTTGGACGAAATGGCCTAGCTTGCAGTCAATGTTCCGGTTCATTCCAAAGGTGTTCAATGTGGTTCTGAGGTCTGTGCAGGCCACTATAGTTCCCCCACACCAGACTTGTCAAATCATTGTCTTTGTGGAGCCTACTTTGTGCACAGAGACACAGTCATGCTAGAACAGGAAAGGGCCTTCCCCAAACTGTTACCATAAAGTTGGAACTGTAAAATTGTATGTTCAATTCCAACTTTTCATCCAGTCCCACCCAAGTCTGCTACCAAGTATATACCACAGTGATACCTATGTGTAGAAGCTTTCATTATAAACCTCGACTGTAGTTATAGAATATAGCAGTAAGTGTTTAAAATGTGTAATTTGTGTGTAAAAGTTTAAACACTCCCTGTCAAATGACATAGTTTATTGATTTTCTAAGTGAAAATAAGTTATCACATTCTCTACAGGAAACAAACCTAAATATAACATTTGACTACAAATTTTTGGCCACAAGGTCTTTCTATACTGAGTTTAACATATTGGAAAAAATAAAACATAAAATCTAAAATGTGCCATAACTTTTGCACAGGCTACATTTTATGTTTAGTTTTTTTTTCCTGTACAGCTATAAGAAAAGTATGTTTCATAGTTTTCATGCTCCTTATGTGTGTCTGTATACATTAGTCTCTGTCGAACAGTGACAGCAAGAATCACATCCAAGGAGCTCATTTGTGAAGTTTTATGTCTGAAATACTTTTGGCTTGTTGAACTATAGCTGAATGTCCTCTAAATCCAGACATACAGTGTGCCATTTTAGAAATCTTTTTCTTTGTTGAGTCAAACTATAGGTTTGATAGTCCATCGTCTACGGATAAAGTTTGCAATTTATATACTCACACTGTACGAAAACACTCGGTCTGACTGATGTGTTATGTGAAATGCAGCCTACAGACAGCTTTTTCTGTGCACAGTTTCAAATAAAGCTGTTTCATTCAAAATAACATGCTGCGCGCCGAGTACCGAGCAGACATGCTGAGAAGCTACAGCAGTGCTGATAATACTCTGCACTGAAGCTGAAAGCAGGCGGTGATGAACACGGTAGGATAGGTCTCTCTACAGCCTCTTTACAAAGACAGTTATTTAGCATCTATACCTTGCAGTTCTACTCAGTCAGAGTGAGGCCAAGGTGGAATGTTTAAAGTGACCAGTGACTTTGTCCAACTGCCATGGAGTCAATAACTCCTCCTTTACAGACTCCTTTACTACCAGCTTGAGTCGTTTGTTCATTAGTGCAACAGTGTACACTGGCTTCACATCACATGGTATCAGGGGGTATTGGAATGTTGGTACCTGTGAATTTTTATGAGCACAAGTAAATGAACACAGTGTCAGATCAACACCTGATACCAGTATCAGTATTAATACATCCCAGATTGACAGAGCATTGTAATTTGACCAGGGACACCCAAATTTTGCATACAATATATATATATATATATATATATATATATATATATATATATATATATATATATATATATATATATATAAAATGACTGAAAATCAGCTAATGAAAATCAGACATTGCTTTTGAATTGTGGTTCAACAGAATAATTTAAAATAACAAACTAATGAAACTGGCCTGGACAAAAATGATGGTACCCTTAACTTAATATTTTGTTGCACAACCTTTTGAGGCAATCACTGCAATCAAGCGATTTCTGTAACTCTCAATGAGACTTCTGCACCTGTCCACAGGTATTTTGGCCCACTCCTCATGGGCAAACTGCTCCAGCTGTCTCAGGTTTGAAGGTTGCCTTGTCCAGACTGCATGTTTCAGCTCCTTCCACAGATGTTCAATAGGATTTAGGTCAGGGCTCATAGAAGGCCGCTTCAGAATAGTCCAATGCTTTGCTCTTAGCCATTCTTGGATGTTTTAAGCTGTGTGTTTTGGGTCATTATCCTATTGGAGGACCCATGACCTGCGACTGAGACCAAGCTTTCTGACCCTGGGCAGCACATTTTGCTCCAGAATGCCTTGATAGTCTTGAGATTTCATTGTACCCTGCGCAGATTGAAAACACCCTGTGCCAGATCAAGTAAAGCAGCCTTAAAACATACCTGAGCCTCCTCCATGTTTCACAGTAGGTACAATGTTCTTTTCTTTGTATGCTTCATTTTTGCATCTGTGAATTAGAGCGTGACTTGCCAAAAA